ACCTCAATTTACATAAGATTCATTACTTCTTAAGATAAAAAGATAAAAAAAATTTCAAATCACAATATTGAAACAGCCTAACAAATCAAAACCAAGCTAAAAAAATATTAGATATTTCAACAATTTTATTCTCTAAAAATATGCAAAGCAATTTTATTCTCTAAAAATAAACTGAAATTGAATATGCAACAAATTTCGACCAAGAATATTAAATATATTAAAAATATACTACCATTTGTAAGTGGGATCTACTTATTACACATTAAAATGAAAGTAGAAAGAAAAAAAAAATAGAGAAAAAAAAAAGATTACAACTCAAGGAAGGAGAGTGGAAATGTTAACAAAGGTACACATTCCCTTCTTTAAGGTTGTTGCTGTTGAAAATGGACTTTGAGTGGCTGAGGTGGCCCTCTCTTTTATGCTCTTCCTATCACTACAGCTAATTACTCACTAAAACTAAGACTAAGCTTATTTAAAAAATTAAAAAAAAAAAAAAAAAAAAAAACAAACTACACAAAAAAAAAAAAAGACTAAGCTCTGCAATTAAAGTAAGAAAAATATTCAGTGCCAGTATTTGATATTGATAAATGATATCCTTCTCTTATTCCATTCTGAAGGCCTAAAAAAATAAAAGATAAAAAAACCCTAAACGAAAAAATTAAAAAAAAAAAAAAAAAAAAAAGACTAAGCTTGCAATAAAGTAGAAAGAATATTCAGTGCCAGTATTTGATATGATAAATGATATCCTCTCTTATCCATTTTGAAGGCTAAAAAATAAAAGATAAAAAACCCTAAACGAAAAACAAACCTCTTTGAGTAATCAAATATTTTTTAAAAATTTCATTTTATTTAGGCTTAATATATCTTAATATCCCCAATTATAGATTTTTACAATTTCCCCTTATTTTGAATTTTTTTTTATCAATTTTACTTCACTTTTGACTTTTTAAAGCAACCGTACCCTCAATTACAATTAAACGTGGAATTGCAAATAAAGAAAATATTTTTTTTATCATTTTTAAATCATCACGTAGCTTTAACGAAAATCTAAAAAATAAAAATTTGAAAAAAATTTCCATTAGTCTAAACAAATAATGTTGTACATATTAAAATTTTAATTTTTGATATAGATATGCTAATTAATAATTTAATAACAGCATTACATAAAAATTGAGGATGAAAAATCATAATTGTAGTAATTTAGTAATTTAAGAATAAAAAATCCTAATTATAATAATTTTTTGGATTGATAATATAGTGAAATTATTTTTTTGTTTCACAAAAATCAGATAAATAAATTATTTTTAATTATTTCAATTGTTTATGTTTCAAATATTATATTTTTAATTCTATAAATGTATCACTCACTATATAAAATTTAATATTGAAAAGATATTTAAAATCTTATTTTTATTATTAATTTAAAAAAAATAAAATTAATTTTTTTGGTTTGTAATTTCATAATAGCAATTAAGGATGTTATTGCTACGAAATATCAAACTTAAGAGTAAAATTGATAAAAATTTAAAATAGAATGAAATTGATACTTGTATCGGCTATAGAGAGTGCCAATAATGCTATATAAACTGTTAGTTGTACTCACGTGAACTCCACGTGTTAGTCCATTACCGGTTCAAATTGAAATTCTGGGCTGTGCGCTTTATTTTGATGAAAGCCCATATCTATATTATCTGAATTTGATATTATTTGATTATTTATTTTGATAAATTTTGCATTTTTTTTATTTTACAAGATATAGTTAAATAACTTTTTTTTTTTAATTTATACTAGTTAGGAAATAACTTTTTATGTATTGCTTAATGAAAACACTATTTTTATTATTAACAGTGTTTCGGTAATATAGCATTTATTAAAAAGTTAATAACTATTAAAACACAAATTAATTATATTTTGAAAATTTTCATTGCTAAAAGTTAGGGTAGCGTTAATTTCCAAAGCGTATTGTGTTATTTACCGAGCACATTAGAGTAGTTTTAACACAATGTTCTGATGCTAAGGCAAACAAGCACATTGTATTAACGCAACCCTAATGTGTTAATGCCATAGGTTTAGAATTGTCAATCTCACATTATTTTTGTCATTAATACAATATGCTCTGGAAATAACATTACTCCTAAAACAATTTAGAATTATTAAAATAATTAATTTTATTGAGCATGTCTTAAAATTATATCTTTTGAAATTGGAATATATAGACAATCTTTAACTAGGACGTATTCTTCTATACAGACTGTACTATAAATAGGCTATAAATTCATTATCTAATTACGATTAACTGATATATTGAATTACTGTTATCTAAACCTTTACTTACTGCCTATTTTTCTCGATCTCTTCTTAACCTTTACTTGGGATAATCTATTTGATCCTCCCATTACATTATCTTTCATAATTTGAGACTTTCCAGATAAAGAAAATTAATTTTTCTTTCCTTCCAATCCAATCATAGGATGGAAAATAAAGAAGAAAAATGAATAGTATAAATCTTTATTTTCCTTCCTCTCTTATTTCTTTTTCTCTTCTTCCCAAAAATAATGTCGGATCGACAATTTTAAACCTGTGTATCTGCATAATTCCTAATTAAAATTACAGCTATTAGAAATTAAATCCTAGAACTAATTTACTAAATTGGGTTCCACCACTTTTGGAACAGCAATTTTATAGTCATAAACGATAATAGTATTTAAATTAACTTTTAGCATTTTGATCAAGTCAAAACTCTATCCCCCTGTTAATTGTAGTTTTTTGTAACATGGCTTTTATAATAAGTTTTAGAGGTTGAGTAAACTTTTTATAAAACTTTAAATATTGTAATGTTTAGAGCGAGATTTTTATAAAACGTTAAACACTATAACGTGTAACATTTGAGCGTTTAATTTTTAGTTGAATTTTTTTGACATTTATATCTATCGTTTCCTTCGAATCCAATTAATAAAACAATTAATATCATTTTTATCATTTTAAACAACTAATTAAAGTTTTTTTTTATTAAACACTTCTAATTTAAACCGTTACACAGACAACCACTAGCTAAAGCTAATAATTAACATTTAATAAAACAGTTAATAGCTATTACAACAACTAACGGTATTAAATCAGCTAACATTAGGTAAACACCAAATATATTGCCAACATTCAATAGAATATCTTGAAATACGAAAGAATCTAAAAACAACTACTTACGTTAAAATTGTCACAGAAAAACAACATATGTTAGTATTTAATTAATAGCAGGTGTAGGGAATAATTCAATTTGTATATAGAAATGGGTAGTTGGTTACATTACATACCAACTATTACTTGTTTGTTTTGGTCAAAAGGTCAAGCTAATTACACTAAACGAATCTTAACAAAATCGAAAGCCAGGTGGTGTCACCACGAGCTAGTGATGGATCTCGACGATTAAAGAAGAATTAAAGGGATAAATAATTATATATTAGTATTTGGTTTTTGTCTCTTTTCATTTTTATTTTTCTAATCAAGTGTTTGAATTAATAATTTTTCATCATTCAGTATATTTTCTCGGAAAATTTAATTAATTTTTCCTTATTTCTTTATTTCTTTTGTGTATTTAAGTTGTTACTTTTATTTTGTATTTCTTCCTCTCTTATGGTTTTAATCTTATTTTGAAATAAAAAATTAAATCTTTATTATATATTTTTAAAAGAAGACATGTATAAAGATTAAAATGAAAAAAATTAAAAATGAATTGAGTGTACATTTATGTTTGATATTATTTCTTAAATAAATTTATTTCTCTTAATTTAAAGACAAAATAATGATTAATCTTTGTTAGGTTTAGAAAGCCAATTAATAAAAGATATTTTTCGCCCTTAGAAATAAGATAAGATTAGTTAAAGGTTTTTATACTGTTATAAAATGTTGTAACTCTGGGCATGTAGTATATAATACTTCAAGGAAAAGATTTGTTTATACTCAGTATATGGACCACCCACAAACACCAAGCTAGTCGAAAACAAAATTTTTAAAATTTTTTTATTTTTTATTATTTTTTTCCAGTGAATAGCTGGAAATAAGACAAAAAATTTTTTTTCATAAATTTAATGTATGTGGTGGATCTTACTGGACACAAATTATAAGAACGTAAAAAAAAACAACCTTGTTTTAATATTAATAGCTGATAAACTTTGACTCTTCAAATGAATGGAAATGAATTCATGCAACAATTTAAGTAGTTGATAAGTATATATATATACACCCAGTTATAAAGAAACAAATCAACCAATTTTCAAATTCATTCTTTTAGAAAATTGCAGTTGAGAGAGAGCATAATTAGTTAGCTAAAATGCCTGGTGGCCAAGAAGAAACGGTGAACAACAAGCAGGTTATATTCAAAAACTACGCGAATACACGTTACCCTAAAGAATCAGACATGTATGTGAGTAGTAATCTGATCAAGCTCCAAGTCCCAGAAGGAAGTAATGGAGTTGTTGTCAAGAATCTCTACTTGTCTTGTGATCGCTACATGAGACAGCTAATGAAGAATGTCACACTGAACCAAGAATTTCCCATTTTCAAGCCCGGTTCGGTTAGTTAACTACTTATTTTTGGCATTATACCAAACGAATTTAATGTTTTTGACATGCTTCAGAAATATATATATATATATATATATATAGTAACATCTGATCAAGCTCAAAAGTCCCAGGAAGGAAGTAATTGGAGTTGTCTGTCAAAATTCTGCTACTATGATTTGTCTTTGTACGATGCGCTACATGAGGAATCGCTACAAGTAGCATGTCACACTGAACTAAGAATATTCCATTTATCAAGCCCCCTCGGGTTCGGATTAGAGTAAGACTACTTATTCTTTGGCACTTTGTATTACGCAAACGAATTTAATGTTTTTTGACATGCTTGCAGAAATATACTTATCATACTATTACTATTATCACTATACTCTATATATATATTATATATATGAATTATATGAATGTCTGTGGCTATTGCTTACTGATATGCAGCCTCTATATGGATATGGAGTGGCCAAAGTTGTAGACTCTAAACATCCAGACTTTGAGAAAGGTGACTTGGTTTGGGGAATAACAACATGGGAAGAATATAGCCATATTGCAACACCAACACCACAAACTCTCTTCAAAATTAACCCAACTGACGATTTATCTCTGTCCTATTATCTTGGAATTCTTGTTATATGCAGAGTCTAGATCTCTTTTCGATTGAAATATTGATTGATCTTCAGAACTACAATTAGTATTCATCATCTTATTACTATTTATTGATTTGTAATTTGCAGGTATGCCCGGCATAACTGCCTATGTTGGATTTAATGAGATTGGTGCTCCAAAGAAAGGAGAGTATGTGTTTGTTTCACTCCAGAAGCAAAGCTGAGAGTATGTGTCTTAATGTTTCACGCAGCTTCTGTGCAATACGTGTGCAAATCCGATTGGGCATCAGAACTACAATTAGTATTCATCATCTTATTACTATTTATTGATTTGTAATTTGCAGGTATGCCCGGCATAACTGCCTATGTTGGATTTAATGAGATTGGTGCTCCAAAGAAAGGAGAGTATGTGTTTGTTTCAGCAGCTTCTGGTGCAATAGGTCAAATCGTTGGGCAACTTGCAAAGTTGGCTGGTTGCTATGTTGTTGGAAGTGCTGGAAGTAAAGAGAAAGTGAGTTCCATATGCACGCATCCCCACTTTCCCAGTGTCTATGGAAATATCAAATTAATTTATCAGCTTTTTGATTTTAACTTTGCTTTTATAATTTCTTCAAATTGTAAGGTTGATTTGTTAAAGAACAAATTGGGATTTGATGAGGCTTTCAATTATAATGAAGAAAAAGACTTGGATGCAGACTTGAAAAGGTAAATTACTAAAATTAATTGGAAGTATTTGTTAAAAACTCAAGATTGAAAAAACATTAATTAATTACCAAGAAAACTAATATTTTCTTCACATGCATATTCACGCAGGTGTTTTCCTCAAGGCATCGACCTATATTTTGATATGGTTGGTGGAAAAATGCTTGATGCTGTGCTTCCTAATATGAGATGCCATAAGCGCATTGTAATATGTGCAATGCTATCACAAGAAAATTTAGAACAACATGAAGGAATACACAACTTGATAGAAGTTGTTTTGAAACGTATTCATATGGAAGGGTTTCTTGTTTCTGAATACTATCATCTCTTTCCGAAATTCCTAGAAATGGTTCAGCCCAACCTAAAAGAAGGGAAGATTAAATACTTTGAAGATATTGCCAATGGCCTTGAGAGCGGTCCAGCAGCTTTGGTAGGGGTATTCACTGGACAGAATCTAGGAAAGCAAGTGGTTAAAATTGCTGATGAATGATTTTTCTTTGTATGGATAATGTTTTATGCAATCACTTCGCAGACGGTTTGGCGAAAAAAGGAGTTTCTGCAGCTGCTTCTTTTCTGGCTTGGTTTTAGTGTTCTATCATTTTGCTATTTCGGTAGTTCTTCTTTCAAGAAGATCTGAATTCTTCTTTTCTCATGAAGAGCTCTTCGCTTCTTGTTTGTCCTGTTTAGGATTTTTTTTTTTTTCACTTATTATTCCTAAGTTAGGTTTGGCTATAGGAATAGCTTGTCAGGCGGCTCAGTTACTTGGAAATGTTAAGTTTTTCCTGATTTAAAATAATTAATAATATATATGCTTTTGATGATAAAAAAATTTATTATGTTGTAACTGTTTTAGTTTAATTTCTTTTACGTTAGGTGATAAAATACATAAGATTTGCGAGTTTTACATTCAAAACAACCTTCCGATCAAATGTCTGTTCTCCGTTGTATTTTGTTTCAAGTGTGAATATCTATGAACAAAAATAGGAGCTTGTCTAGCCATTGGACCAGCCATAAATTGAAGGAAAATATTCCCTCCACGTGAATAAAACAGGAGTGATAGTTTAATTTATAGGGTAATCAAAAGAACAAATTAATTTGATTAATTTACACTTTATTATTTTTGTTTTAAAATTAGACACCTTATTCCTTACAGCAGCATCGTAACTAAAAATTGAAATATGTTGAAAATTTTTAATTTTTATTTATGAATTTTGACTTGATTGAGGTTTAAACTTGCACCAACAATACACAGCGAAATCTAGGAGCCGTATGGGAGGGGATCCTCTTAACTTAGATTAGACTTTTTTTTTTTTTTTTTTTTTTTTTTTTTTTATTAGCTTTTTTTTTTTTTTTTTTTTTTTTTTTGAGTAGGTTAACTTAGATTACACTTCAGAATTAGCTAAAAGTGTTCCTTATTCATCATTAATAATATTAATCTGATAAAAAATTTTTTTTTTTTTTTTTTTTTTTTTTTTTTTGAGTATTAACTTAGATTACACTTAGATTAGCTAAAATGTTCTTATTCATCATTAATAATATTAATCTGATAAAAAAAAAATAATACATAGCGAAATCTCATCATTAAAATTTTAGGCATATTGTAGTACAATAATAATCTTGTAACTAAAATGCAACTGAATCTTAAACTTCAAATATGAAAGTGTAACAACTAAAAATTCGAAATCAAATAACAAAATTATTAATTATAAAAAAATGGATACCTTTTATCCACTTTTAGGGGTGAGTAATTTTCGGTTTCAAACCAAGAATCAAACCAAACCAACTCATTTCGGTCAAATTTGGATAGTTGTTTAAGAAATTGATTATTGATCAGTTTAGATATATAAAACCGTTTGATTTTCGGTGTTTGGTTCGTTTATCATATATAACTAACAAGAAATTATTTTTAAGTTCAAAATAACTAATTTGATTTCGAATAACCGAATTCAACTGAACCAAATCAATTTGATTGAGTTTACATCGACTACTATACCATTTAATTCCGAATTAGTTTACGTAAAAATATATTGAAATAGACTTAAATCGAGCTAATTTGATTTGGTTTCCTGTCCACTTGACTTGGAAAGAAAAACATGCACGTGAGACTCTCAACTGACAAGATAAAATTAAAAGTAATAAAACTTATGCTAAATTCTATGTTCTAACCCTTAAACTTTAGACTTTAGACACTAAGATAATATACCTTAAATTCAAAAACCCTAAAACCTCTTAACTCTTATCCTGAATCCTAAATTAATCTTAACAAACCTAAACTTGTCCTAAATCCTAAATCTTAAAATAAGCTCAACTTTGTCCTAAATCCTAAATCTTACCTTAAGGTCTAAAAACCCTAAAATCTAAATCATAAACCTTAAGTCCTAAACTCTAAACTCTCTCACCCTAAATCCTGATTTTGTTACTTTTAAAGGATTCCAGTCATCGTAGGATTCCTTCTATGTATATTTTTCCATTGATTATAATTAGACAGTCCACTTGTGAGTCAGAGTTACAAAAATTAATCCCTATGGATCCACTAGACAAAGAAAGTACAGGCGGATTTTAAGGCTATTATTGGGATTGACATGCCGAGACCAAGTTTATAGGCTCACTTATAAATCAAAACTATGAAAAATAAGTTTTTATTGAAACAAAAATATACCTAACCATTCACTACAAAAAAATATAAAGTGAAAACAATATTTAAAAATTTTTTATTTTCATTGGTTTGGTCTATAGACAGAATCTAAGCAAGTTTATTCCACTTTTATTAAACTTATATATGGTGCCAGCAAGTACAAACTTGACCCAAAAAATATTCAATAGATAAAATTATTGAATCTAATTAAAAGAAAAAACTAAAAATAAAACCCACCCAGCAATCCTTAAGGAAAAAAAAAAAGTGGGAAAAGTATTTCTAATACACTGGCACATTTGGAAAGATCTCCAGATCCATCTAGTAGCAGAATCACTGTCAAATATTATTTTGATCTAAACTCAGAAGAAGAGGATTTTGATTCTTATATGTGTGAATGATTTGATATTTTATTGAATTTTGATTTTCTTTATTTTTTTTTTCTATATATCAATTGTAATTTTATATATATACTCTTGTACCTCGTAGTATTCTTGAGCTTTGCTCCCCTTGTCGAACGAAGGCAAGGATTTTGCATCTCTACTCAGTTGTGAATGATTTAGACGATATTTTTATGAATTTGATTTCTTTATTTTTTTTCATAATACTATCACATAATGCTTTTATATTCAAACATACATATCACTATACTTTGTACCTCGTTCCAGTATTCTTGAGCTTTCTTGCTTTTTTTTTCTATATATCAATTGTAATTTTATATATATACTCTTGTACCTCGTAGTATTCTTGAGCTTTGCTCCCCTTGTCTCGTTGATGGTTGCTTTAATATGTCTAAGTGCATGAGCTCTGGCTCTGTAACTGAACTCTTCATATAGTAACTGGTGCGCCTTACTATATTGACAACCAGAAATGAAATATTAGTATTTGATTTTTGTCTCTTTTCATTTTTATTTTTTTAATGAAGTGTTTAAATTAATAATTTTTCATAATTCAGTATATTTTCTCGCAAAATTTAAATAATTTTTCCTTATTTCTTTATTTCTTTTGTTTATCTAGCTTGTTACTTTTATTTTGTATTTCTTCCAGTCTTATGGTTTTAATTTTGTTTTGAAATAAAAAAAAAAAATTTTGTTATATATTTTTAAAAGAAGACATGTATAAAGATTAAAATTAAAAAATTAAAAAAGAAATATGAATTGAGCGTATATTTATGTTTGATATTATTTCTTAAATCAATTTGTTTCTCTTAATTTAAAGAAAAAAATAATATTTGATATTATTTACCCAACAATTTTTTATGTAGCATTTAATGGTTTGACTACAAAAATGCTAAAAGCTACCTAAAAAGTTGTTGCTAAACACAGACGTTAATATTGATATTTGTATAAATATCTTTATCTATTATTTGAACTTCAATATAGGTAACTGGTATTCACTATATATATATTTTATATAGCGTTAAATAAAAAAATAAGCGTAAATAATTAATTTTGATTATTAAAAATTAATAAAAATAATTGATCTTTATTGTGATATAGTTAAATAAAAAAATAAGTAAATAATTAATTTTGATTTATTAAAAATTAATAAAAATAATTGATTTATTGTGAGTTTGCAAAAATATTAATAAAAATAGTAAATTTTTTGCTAGGACGCGTTAAACATAGACTCCTTTGAAGTATCAAAGCATGCTTACCACTGTGCCACCGTTCGATTCTTTCACTTAAAATTCCTCTGTAATAGCAGAAAATACTCAGCTTAAATTTTTATTTACAATAGATAGATATGAATAAAATTAGCACCAACCAAATCAATTCATCGATAAAAGAATATATTTTTTACTTTTTTATCCTCACCAAAACTTGATATGCACTCTACAAGAAAAATGTGTTCTTAGCGACGGATAGTAAGCGGTCACTATATACCGATTGAATTACGAACCTTAGTTAGTAATTCGAGTAGTTAGGAAAATTGCTAAAAATACTATGTGATTGATTAATGACTAATTAGCAACTGATGTTGGAACCAATTAGTGACTTAATTGTTAAGTGGTCGGCAATTTTCATAGGATATATTTCTGTAAAATTAAAAATCAATCCGCGACTATTTACGACCAATTTTATGATAGTATAGTTTGAAATTAAGAGTTCCTAAAATTTAGCCACCGATTAGCAACGAAAAATTGAAAATTTTCATTATAAGATAGTATAGTTTGAAATTAAGAGTTCCTAAAATTTAGCCACCGATTAGCAACGAAAAATTGAAAATTTTCATTATAAGATAGTATAGTTTGAAATTAAGAGTTCCTAAAATTTAGCCACCGATTAGCAACGAAAAATTGAAAATTTTCATTATAAGATAGTATAGTTTGAAATTAAGAGTTCCTAAAATTTAGCCACCGATTAGCAACGAAAAATTGAAAATTTTCATTATAAGATAGTATAGTTTGAAATTAAGAGTTCCTAAAATTTAGCCACCGATTAGCAACGAAAAATTGAAAATTTTCATTATAAGAGTCCTTAAAGTATTTGAAATTAATAAAATAAAATAAATCATAGGACAAGTTCTTTAAAGTTTGAAACATATCGACGAGTGTCCAAAAGATGTAAATGTACGACACGTTGATGTAACCTGTTTGAGTCTTTAGTCAACCTTCATTGGTATATATTTTCGATATAACTTGTTTGTTGCTTTAAGAAAAAATTACAGTACAGTCTCTGTGATTTAGGAAATACAATTAGTAAATACTTTTATTTAAGAAATAGACTAAATAGTTGTCTTCCACAGACTATAAGATCCTTCGTCTAATTTTTATATCTTTCTCGTTAAATACTTTATAAAATGATGAAAGTATCATCTTCATCTCCTCTCACCTTTAGTTATTATTTTTAAAATAAAGAGACGGATTAGTTATATTTCTTAAATCATATGAACTGTATTGTTATTTTTCTATTATAAAATTTTAGTATCTCATCTTTAACCTCTGGATTTCTTATTGATTTACTGGAAAAGAAATAAAAAAAATTGGACAGAATGACCTAATAGTGTATGGAAACAAGATATAGAGACCTATTGGTATATTTTTAAAGAGAAAGAGACAAACAAATTGAATTTCATAAACCACATGGAGACACCTTAACGCAACTTTCCCATGAAATAATCAACAAATGACTCATTTTCAATGTTTATGTTTAAACTGATAATAGCACAGTATTACAATATATTTCTTGTTAGGCTTTGTCAACAAAGTTAAGCTAAGCATAAAAAGCTATATATACACGTCGTTACGCTTTCTTGGCCATACATCTATTGCTTTTATAATATCAGTTTCTTCTTTTAATCATCATGGGCGTTGTGACTTTTGAAGGGCAGAATGAGGGCTCATCAGTCCCACCAGCCAAGTTGTTCAAGATGATGGTCCTCGAAGCTGAACGGTATATTCCCAAAGTCGTGCCTGGGCTTTTCAAAGGTCTTGACAATCTCCAAGGAGAAGGAGGATCTGGTACTGTCAGGCACGTTAATTTTTCTGAAGGTCAGTTACAATATCATTCCCTATGGCTATATACACATTCCTTTTACAATTTATATTTTATGTTGTAAATCTTTTTCATTGGTTGAGATTTATTTTCAATAATAACTAATTGTATTAATGTTGTTTAAAATATTCAGGCTATCAATTTAGTCATTTGAAGCAGACACTTGATGGAATAGATGAAGAGAACTTTATATTTGACTACTCTATAGTTGGAGGCGATCCTGCTTTTATAGATACTACAAAAGTTGAGAAAATGTCTTTCCAGGTTAAGTTTGAAACTTCTCCTAATGGAAGAAATATTAGCAAGCGAAGCTGCAAGGCATATACTGTTGATGGCGTTGAAGTCAATGAAGATGAAATAAGGGCTTTTCTAGAAAAGACTAATCAAACCTTTTTTGAAACAGTGAAGATTTATGAAGCCTATGCCTTGGCAAATCCTGATGATGTCTAACTTAATTGATTCAATAAGCCTTATGTGCAGTTATAAGAAATTTGGGTTTTGCTATTTTGTTGCCAAATTCATGTTTGTCTCCCTTAATTTAAAATTTTTAGTTTCGTCGCTGTTTATGCAAAATCTCAATGCTTTGTATTTTTTTATGATATAAATGAATACAAATTATCTCTTTTAAGTATATTAAATGTTTAATATATACATGCACAGACATTTAATAAGTGTATGTATATATATTTGTGTGTTTATGAACAGAAATCAAAATTAGATTAACCCTTATTCGGAATAAATGAATTAAAAAAATGTATCCAATTAAAATAAAAAATGAAGGATTCAACTTTACGAGTTCAATTCTATAAATTTGAATATAATTAAACTAAATCCTAACAAAAAAAGGTGGAAGTTTTAAATCAATTCCACAAACCTAAACAATCCAATACTTTATAATGAAATTCTCCAACCTTATAGCTTTCTAAATTTATTATAAAAAAGGGTATTTTAGGAATAAAAATAAATGAAATTTTAAATTCTTAAAGTTATTCTAAACATGAAAAATTCATTTATAAATGAATTTTTTTTTGAATTTTGCTCCGTTTGGTGTCAATGAATTCAAAATTTATAATTAATTTATAAATCAATTCCAAATAGTATTATTTGTAAATTAAATACCAAACACACTGAAAGTTAAAAATCCAGATCAGCTATATTTTTATATATGAGTTTAAAACATGAACATATTTAACTTGTAGACAACATTATAAATAATATATTAACATTATCATTTACATGGAATTATATAATAAACTATAATAGCATCTGTACAGTTTGATGATGTTACTTCTAATAAAATTTTGTAAAAATATTTGTTACCACACAAATACAAATACATTTTCCAAGATGAAAATCTATATATATTCGTTTTTTTATCTTAGTTGGCACAACTTTATTATAAATTTTTAATAATACAATTTTATTGTTAGCCAGTAATAATTGTAAAATATTTTTGAAACAGTAATAATAATTAATAAAATAAATAATGAAATTAATTTCATCATTAATTTATTATTTAAATAATCAGCAAATGCAATTTATATTCATAATTAGCTGAAAAATAAGTAGATGAAATATTATAGCCAATAAAAAACTTTTTTTTAACATTTATGTTAAGTGATATGTACATCTAAATATATAGTAAATGTTAAAATTAACGTTTTATTTATTATCTTTAAGTAAGTTACTCATTAATTTTCAAAAAAAAAAAAAAGTTACTCATTAGAATTTTACAATTCATTATTTTGAGTAAAAATTAATATTTTATCTGTCTATAAAGTTTTTTTAATGTGAATATATAGAAAGTAAAAGTCTTTTAATATGAATTTATTATATATACAGTATTTCTCAAATGAGAATAGGCAATTATTGTATGAATGAAATTAAAACTAATTTATTAATTTTGTTTATCTTTAAAATTTTATTTTGAGTCAATTTAGAAAAAAAAATTATAAAAATATAAATTTAAATAGATATTATTATTTTTGGATTTAAATAAAATATCAAATATTATTATTTTATTGATTGGACTAGTAAAACCATAAATAAATATTGTTTTAAAAATAGTATAATATCAAATATTATTATTTATTGATTGGTGGACTTAGTTCAAATATTATTATTTTATTGATTGGACTAGTAAAACCATAAATAAATATTGTTTTAAAAATAGTATTAGTAGAGGTTTATATATGTTTATACTATTAGTCTTTAATTTGCTTGAAAAAAAATTATTATTGACACTTAATAATTAATATTTGATGGATAATTGATTATTATAAATGCATATATTGACAGTACTTAATGTGAATAGTAATATGTGTGTGCTCGCAAACAAATTAACCAAATTAACCAAAAAAGTATGGAAATAAATCAAATTGACCAAAAAAGTAAGCCATTAATAACTTTTTACATATAAATCGACGGTACATCAATTTCATATATTATAAAACTAACTGTTGAAATTATTTATGATTATGCATTCAAAAAATGCATGCAAAACCATATTAAGTTTTACTCATATAACTTAAAAAATTAATTTAAGAAATTTTTAAATGAATAATTATTTAAGTTATAGTGAGAATGTGATTAAAGAATAATAAAGGGTTAAGTGGAAAAATAATATTGGACAAGAATGTAATGAAATAATTACGAAAGGATTAAGTAGGTAAAATATTATTGAGGCAAAAAGTTAATTAAAGAATAATAAAAGGACCGAAAAACATTATAGGATAAAAATATAATTAATGAATTACGAAAGGGATAAGTGGAAAACTCACTGTTATGGGAACATTGATGTCCCATGCCAATTAAATATATATAGTAATGACAATCAAAATGTAGTATTTTAGTTTTTTTTTTTTTTTTGTTTTTTTCCCAATCGGGGGCGGAACTACATGTACTGGGAGGGGGCAACTGTTTTTTTTTTTTTTTTTTTTTTTTTTTTTTTTTTTTTTTTTTTTTTTTTTTGTCTTCTAGATCAAGATGTCTCGAACCCTTGAATCATCTAGCCATGCTTACAACATTACTTTCAAACCACTTTCACCTCCATACTTTTATATAACCTTTCTTCCAACTTAAGATTAACTTCCCTCTAATTTCAAAATCCTGGCTTCCGCACTTGCCCATCATGAGTTTTAAAAATTATTTCCATTCTCGCTTGAACTTCTTTTCAAAATTAGCCGACAAAATGATGGTATAATCTGCAAAAAAAAAAAAAAAAAAAAAAAAAAGGTGAGAATAAGGAAAAAAAAAAAAAAAAAAAAAAAAGGTGAGAATAAGTTAAACGTGGGAATAATTAGCCTCATCATGAAGTTGTTGCTTCCTTTCTGCCTTTGAAATTTTCGTAAAGTTGTTAATTATATGTTAAACGTGGGAACTTTCAGCCTCATGCAATCCCCAGATGCATGGCATGTTTTAAATAAGTTTTTTTGAAGGTCCGTTTCAATTAAGTTAAAATATTGCCATATATCAATTAATAATAATGAGTAGTTGGCTTGTTATTGGAAGACTTAACTGATCATTATTAATGTAATCCCAGCGCTTTTAATTTTTTTTTAGCTGAGATTTCAAAATAATTTAAAAGCTATTATAAACTGATCATTATATATTTTAAAATAAAAAAAAGTTTTCATAAATTTTTCAATATCATTTCTTTAATAAAAAATAATAAAATTTTAATTTTTATATGTATACTTTAAAAGTAAATAATTGAATTATTATTGTTGTTTGAAATGTTGATGCTATTAATTTAGTCATTTAATAGCATATATGACTATATATTCTGTAATTGAAGGCGATCCTGATCCTGCTCCTGCTCCCATAGATACGAGTTTAGTTGAGAAAATGTTATTTTACATCAAAGTTGAAATTTTACTGATGAAAGGATAATTTGCAAGCCCAACTGCAAGGCATATACTATTAATAGTGCTGAGGTCAACGAAGATGAATTGAGAGCTTTTCTAAAAAAAGAACATTTTTTAAAATAATGAAGATTTATAAAGTCCATGCCACAGCAAGTCCTGATGTCTGATTCAATTGATATGCATTTTAGTTTTAATAAGCCATATGAGTAATTATAAGAAATGGGTTTTATTATTTTGTCGCCAAATTTCTATTTGCCCCCTTAGCTTAGATGTTCAAAACTTTATTTCCCTTAATTTAAATTTCTCATTTCATCCCTACTTGTGGAAAGTGTCAATGCTTTACTTGTTTTTACGGCAAAATGAAGAAAACTATTTATTTATATACATTAGAAGTTTAATATATGGACACACGAGCATCTGGTGTATCTAAATATTATTTGTGTGTCTATGAGCAAAAATTAGTGATACCAAGTAATAATTTTTCAATAATAATAAATTAATAATAGTGTTCTCTGTTCAGTTTTTGTCTAAAAGAGAGTAACGTGGCTGTTAACCCAAACAGTGAACCCCACTTACTGCTGCTTCATAGCCAAAAAGGCCAATCTTGCCTTACTGCAGATCCCCGAAAGAGAAAGAAGCTGCTGTATTAGTCAAAATTTGAAGGCTAATTTTTTCTGTTAGGTCCATAATTTATTTGATCAAAATAATCATTATTACACAAGTTTGACAAAACACACATATTAAAAATTTAGTCAACAAAAGTTATTTTACCCTTCTTTACCCTTAATAACTCATTAAGATACTAAAAATCCTTCATTTAATGAACAATTATAGAGGTTATTGTGGAAAAAATAATTATTTACATGTACAAATTTAGAAACCTTGCAAATATTTTGAGCCATCCAAAAAAAAAAAATAATAAGCAAACAAAATAGGACGGATGAAGTATAATTTATTTATAAAAAAAATTATATTTTGAATTCATTTATACCAAATACAGCGTTAATAAAATATTTATTTCAAAATTTAAAATTATTGAAAAAAATTAAATAAAATCAGTAGAAAAAACAAAAGGGAACCAAAAAAAAAATCAAAAGAGAATAGAGAGGATGATGGACAGCTAGGTAGACCCGGCTGTATTACATTTTTTGGAATCGGAATCGTCAGTTCTGAACCGGTGGGAACCGAAACCAAAACCGATGGGAACCTGAATCGGTCCGAATCGAAAATGAAATCGATGGCCTACAGTTCGGTTTTGGTTCCACCATTTTTGGAACCGTGAACCGGCGGTCACAAGAAGATTTTGAATTTAATGTTAAACGACTAGAACTAGCTGTTCCAGCGGTTCGAATTGGCAGTTCTAGCAGCTTTTTTTATTTTTCAAATAGAATGTGAAATCTCCAAATTACTCCTCCTAAAAACTATAAACGGCTACATAACGGCTAGTTTGAAGGGTATTTGTGGAAAAATGATTTTTTGGTTTTATTATAAATACCTCATTCCATTTACAATCCCCTCACACAAAATAATCTCTACTTTCTCTACTTTATATTATTCTCTATTCTACAATCTCTCTAATTTTCATTCACAAATTATTGTCCAAAATATTGGAAAATAATTTCTTCAAAGTCCAATCTCCAATTATTTGTGGTAATTATTCTCTCTAATTTTTTTTATTCAATTTCCAAATTATATTTTATTATTCATATAATGGCAACAAGTGGAGGAAACTCAAATTCGGGTAAGGGCAAGGGAAAAATTGGAGAATCATCTATCCCTACAAACGACATCTATGATATGATTCCCGACCAATGTAATTTTGAGGGTTTTCCAAATGAAAATTTGGATATTCCAACTCAAGAATCCGAATTTAATGAGCAATTTTAAGAAAAAGAGCAAGAGCAACGAGCACAAATTGTTACAAGAGCAAGACAAAGTTCCGACATATTCTCCATTCATTTCACAAAAAAATTCAAAGGTAAGAAAATGTACAATGTAATTTACAATTATTGTGAAAAATCTTATAAATCTAAACAAGCAGGCGGCTATGGATCATTTTGGAAGCGGCTATGGATCATTTTGGAAGCATTTGGAGACAAAACATCCAACAAAAATAGGAGTTGATCGGTCTCAAACACAAATTTCCGGGTACACTTCTAACCTTTCTTTATTTAAATATTCTGAAAAAATACAAAAAGAAGAATTAGCAAAAATGATTTCTATGGAACGATCTTTTAGTTTTGGTGAAAAAGGTAGGTTTTAATAATTATTGTTCAAAAAAGCTTTTAAATCCTTGCGTGCTAAAAGAGTACCCAAGAAATAACAGATAAAACGAACTTATTATTTCTTTTGTATAATAAAGGAAAAAAAAAAGAATAGAGCTTTTATGTTCTCAATTGAAGATATTCGTGTTCCAATTTATGTTGTTGGATGTTTGGAGTGATCATTGGTCCGATGAATCATTCTATATGGTGATTACATGCATTTGGATTAGATTGATTGGAAAATTCAAAAAAGAATGTTATAGGTTTTCGTTGTTTTTGATGATTAAACATACCTGCAAACAAATATTTTATAGAGGTCAATTGTTTCAATTTTAGATTGAATATAAGTTGAAAAAAAAATTTTTCAATTTATTTGATAATTGCTCGGTCTGATGTGGAGATCGTATGATTCTATATTGAACTTAAAAGAATTTGTGAACCATGTAATATTGGTGGTAAATTTTTCATGAAAGATGGTTGGGCATGCCATGTAAATTTATGTGTACAAGGATGGTTTAAAAATGCTTGATTGTTTATTCTCCTCTAATATTATATATATAGCTATTTTCATATTTTATACACATCCCAAGTAATGAAAAGTTGGGGCTAAAATGGTTGTAAAGAAAATTAAAAAAGACCCAAAACGTTTCCAAGGGATGTCCCAAACTCGTTGTGGTAGATGTCAAACATATGAATTTACTAAACGAGTCTTTTCTTTATAAAGAATATTATGTTTTTTTTTTACCTAAATAATATTGAGGAATATTTAATTTTATATCCAACAAAATAATGGGACATTTGTGCAAAAATATTTGTACAAAAATTTTAGATATTTTAAAAATTTTTAATGATGCTACCTATAAATTTAGTGGGGTTTATTATCCCACATCTCATTTATTTTTACCTGTGTATTAATATTGTTAATGCACTCCAAGAATTTCAAAATGATGATTTATTAAAAGATTGTATTTTTTCAATGAAAAAAAAATGGTTATCTTATTTTAAAAATATAGCACCCCTTTATCTTGTTGCTATTATATTTGATCCTAGATGTAGAATGGATGTTTTATGTGATTATTTGACTATTTATTATGAAGTATTGAATCTTGATGTAGAAGATAATGTTAATATAAATGTAGTAGAAGATAATGTTAATATAAATGTAGTAATGCATGAAGTTAAACAAAATATTATGCAATTATATAATGAATTTTCTAGTTCATCTACTTCTATTTCTACTTCTTCTCAATCTAATATTCCACAATTTTCAACATAAAGGGTAAGTGGTGTTGGTGTTGCTCAATAAGTTTCATTGCAAAGACAAAAAAGAACAAGGGAATCCAGTTCTATTTCTGAATTTGATAATTATCTAACAACTTCTTTTGAGTTTGGTGATGATTATGCTGATGCAGATTTTCCAATTTTAGATTGGTGGAGTCGTCACGCAAATACTTTTTCAATTCTTTCTTTACTTGCAAAACAAATTTTAGTAGCTCCGGTCTCCACTGTTGCACTGTTGCGGGATTGAACAAGCTTTTAGTCAAGGAGGTAACATAACTTTGATGAAAACACGAATCTCTATGACACCCGATTTTCATTAGAAGCACAAAGGGCGTGCGTGGATGATTGGACCAAAGCGGAACTAAGAGCCCAGAAAAATCCAAACGAAAATGAAGATTTATTTGATTTTATTACGATGGGTCCTCAACTGGGAACATCAACCGGTGGTGCAAATATCGATTAAGGTAAAAAGGGGTGGACATTGATATAAGGTAAGTAAGAACTACGTGGGCTTTGATTTCCTCAAAACCCAAGAGGGATTAACTAGGCCAACTTAATTTTTTTTTTTTTTTAAAAAAATTTAAAGTTCAAGCCCATTTTTTCAAATTATGTTCAAACGTAAAAAAAAAAAATTCAGTTCAAATTTTTTTTAGAAAAAAAATCATTATGTTTCAAACTTTAAAAAAAAAAAAAATCAATTCAAATTTTTTTTTTAAAAAAAATCCATTATGTTTCAAACTTAAAAAAAAAAAAATCAGCTGTCAAATTTTTTTTTAAAACCGGTCTTAAAAAAATCTTGAAATTTTTGTTTAGGTGTATTTTTAAATTTTTTATGTTCAAAAATTTTTTTTTAGTTGGTCTTGATATTAAAATTTTTAACAGTTATTTTTTAATTTTATGTTAAATATAATTTTTTTTTTTTAAACCGTATTAAAAATTTAAAATTTCAAATTATGCGATTCGCCGGGAAAAACAATCGGAACCGTCGGTTTTGTAATCGGATCGGAAACCGGAAACCGGCGGTTCCAAAAGCCGGAACCGAAACCCGGCCAATTTCGGTCCCGGTTCCGGTTTCCAGCTTTCTGGAACCGGAAACCGCCGGTTCCGGAACCGCCGGAACCGCCGGTTCCGGAACCGGAACCGCCGGTTCCGGAACCGTGGCCATGCCTACCTAAACCCTTTAAAATTGAGAATATAAATCAGATCTTCGAGAAATGCACTTTGCTGGAAGAGTAAAAAATCTTTACGCTGTACAACCCGAGAGAAATTAAGCATCGTGATTAAACAAACAAAAAATGTCTCAGTTTTAAGATTTTAAAGTTGCATCTATTTGTAAACACCCATTTACGAAATTCAATTATCCTTTTCCGGCCATTGATTACTTTATTCGTTTCACTAATAGCAACAAATGATTATTTTATATTTGTTCCATTTTAAGTGTTTATTTAGGATTTTGACAGTCTATTAATAATATATTTTTTTTTAATTTTAACATATTTTTTAGAGATAAAATAATCATTGATTTTGTAATAAAAATAACTAGAGAGTTTTTAATCTTAAGATAAGGACAAATTAGATATTCTACTATATAATTTTAAAAAAATCAATGTGTTTCAATCATTTTCTTAATTCTCGTAAAAATATGAAATATTGCTATTAAATGGACACGGAGGGAGTATCTATTAGATTCTATTACATAATTAGGAAGTTTAAATTATATATTAAATTAAAGAAATGATAAAGACATTGTGGAAAATTATGTAATTTTAATTTATATATAAACTAAATGTGTGCTTGCATTCTTTTTCAACGTTCAATATAAATTTTACTTTTCAAGTTAATTTGAAAGTATTTACACATTAAGTTATTTTAGTTTAAAGCGATATAAGTGGATTGCGACATTTACCTAGAATTATACATCAAGGTGGCATGTGTAAATATCACATATTTTTCTATAATAAAATTACTAATGTTGTTTAAAATGTTCAGGCAGTGTATTAAGTCATGTGAAGGAAAGAGTTGATGCTGTAGATGAGGAGAATTTCATATTTGAGTACTCTATAATTGAAGGAGATCCTGCTCTCATAAATTCTAATTTAGTCGAGAAAATGTCTTATCATGTCAAGTTTGAAAATTCTCCTGATGGAGGAACAACTTGCAAGCGCGCTTGCAAGGCCTATGTCACTGATGGCGCTGAGGGCAAAGAAGATGAAATTAGGGCTTGCCAAGTATATACTACACAACTCTTTTTTGCAAATCTCAAGCTTTATGAAGCCTATGCCTTGGCAAATCCTGATGTGTAAATTAATTTACATGCATTTCAGTTTTAGTATAAGCCATATGAGCAATTATAAAAATTTTGAAATTTTGTTATTTGTTGCTAATTAAGTTTCCAGTTGCCTCGCTCTCAAAAATGTCCCTTATTTATGTTAAGCTTAATGCTTTGGTTGTTTTTATCGCATACTGAATAATATAGAATAATATATTATATATATATATATATATTATATAATTATATAGAAAGTTAACATTAAAATTAAAATTGAGGACTGTATAAAATTTTGTTAAAAAATAAACAATTAAAGGATATATATATAGAAAGTAACATTAAAATTAAATTGAGGACTGTATAAGATTTTGTTAAAAAATAAACAATTAAAGGATTAAATTTATGCACTCGGTCACAACTTATTAAATGTAATAATAATGCTACATAAAGTGTTAGTCAACATTAGAAGACTAAGTTTTTCTATTAGATTCATTATTCACGTGATTCCCAGATAACCATTATTTATTATATGTTTAAATTGATAACATGAATCTAAAAACACTTCAATATAGAAATAGGGTTTTTGTTAACAAAGTTAAGCTTATCATGCTAAATTAAAATATATTATGTACAAAAACCCAAAAGTCAACTAGAAGCGCATTAGATCCCACCTTAAAGAAAAATATTCATAAAATGGTCATAGTCAATGAACAAGGGCAAAACTTAGGAAAATTTGTTTGGAGTGTGAAATAAAGTTTTTAAAATTGAGGGTGCAAAAGATATTTTTATATTTTTAGGAATCAAAATAATTTTATAAGCAACTTTTTTTTTAAAAAAAAAATGTTCTTGGGAGTATGATGAAGAAGCTTCCAACAGCTAAGTTGACATGAATGATAATGATATTCTGAGTTTGCCTAAGCCTTGACTGTCTTATTCCCTTTTACTAGATTCTGGTCCGTCTGCTAATGTAGCGTATACCCCTTTTGTGGTTACAACTCGAAGGGCATAATTGCTTTCAATTGGTTTCAGTGTGGTGGCCTCCGCCATTTATTTTCGGCGCATTGTTGAACCAAAAAAAAATATTGTAAACTACACACAAGCTAGCCTGTTGTTAAATGTTTAAAGTTGTTTTTATGAGTAGACTAATTACAAGAATAGACAAAGTGATTTGTATAGAACAAAAACACCAATCTCAACATAAATTGTAATTTAATGACTACACGTTTGTATAAACGGTTGTTCTTGTTTTATTATTTTGATAGGTACTTCTCGCACTCTTCTAAAGTAAAAAAGGAATTCATTTATTCGCCTAGTCCAAAGTTTATGGAATAAATTATAAGAAAGTCGATTTTTGGTTAAATTCCAAATTGCGCTAATTGATCAAAATTGTAAATTGTAATATAAAGATATGGACATGAAAACTACAAAGATTTGTAGACTATAGTATATTGAAGAAGAAGATGATGATGATTATAGGATAATGAATAGAAAAAAATAACCACTGCCTATTTATTCTAGATCTAAATCTGATACTATGTGTCTGCTTGTATATTAGATATACTAGAACTAAATTATGTGTGGATCACATGTGTTTGACTAGATAAATTAATTGTGGGCTTGTATAGAAAAGCCCAAACTTGTTTTGTGGTTTTACATTTTCTCTAAGGCCCAAACGATACATTGTGTTGTAATAAACTTAGCTTTCTTTGTTTTGATGAAACCTAGCGCCGTTGCTTCATTTGTTTACTTGGTCATCCCCCTCAAGTTGGCGTTTGGTAAATAGACCAAACCTAACTTGGACACTAACTCAGTAACTATCATAGTGGGAAGTGATTTTGTGAGTAGATTCGCTAATTGAAGGTGTGAAGGGACATGAGATGTAGTTAAAAAAACCACTTTATAATCGATGTCGGACAACATGACAATTGATATCGATGTGCTTCGTCCGCTCGTGGAAAACTGGGTTCTTGGCAATGTGAATCACCGATTGATTATCACAAAACAGAGGAATCGAAAGCTTACAGTCCACTTGTAAATCCTTCAAAAGATAAGTAATCCAAACTAGTTCACAAGTTATTTTTGCCATGGATCTGTACTATGCTTCAGCTGTAGATCAACTAATAATATTTTGTTTTTTTTTATTATTTTCCAAGAAATAAGAGTGTCATCGAGAAAAACACAGTACCTAGAGAGAGATCACCGCGTGAGAGTGCAGGCCACCCAGATCAATGTCGCAGTAGGCATGCAACTGGAGGCTATTTTGAGAAGGAAAAAAGAGACCTTGGGAAGCTATACCCTTGAGATCTCGGAGTATGTGTAAAGCGACTATGAGATGATTGGTTCTGGATGTTTTCATATACTGATTGAGCTGCTGAACACCATATGTTATATTCGGTCAAGTTAGATCTAAGTAGAGGAGATGACCAACGAGCCAACGATATCTCTCAGGATCTGGTAGTAAGGATCCCATGTTAGGTATAATCTTATTCCTTTGGGCTAATGGTGTCTGAATAGTTGTGCATGTATCTAGATCTGCATCATGAACTAGATCTAATATAAAATTTCTTTGAGACAAATACATGCCATTGTTAGATCTAGCGATCTCTAGACCAAGAAAATATCTTACATGACCTAGGTCCTTAATGGTGTATGTTGCATGTAGAAACTGTTTGACTACGAAAATTTGTGATTCATTTGGTCCTGTAATAAGAACATCGTCTATGTAAGCAATGAGAAAGAGAAAATCAACACCGCTCCCTTTAATTAGGGGTGGCCACGGTTCCGGAACCGCCGGTTCCGATTCCAAAAAATTTGGAACCGGAACTGAACCAAAATTAACGGTTTCGGTTATGGTTTGGAACCGAACGGTTCTAGTTTTGGTTTAAAACCGATTGGTTTCGATTTTGGTTTGAAACCGAACGGTTTCGATTCCTTAATGGTTCAAAAATCGATAGTTCCAACTGATTCTCTGGCCGGTTTTCCAATGGTTCCAGCCTGTTTTGGACTGATTCTGGCCGGTTTTGGAAGGTTCTAGCCGATTTCAGATGGAACTAGAACTGTCGATTCTTATTGGAACTGAAACCACTGGTTCACGATTCCAAAACTTGTGGAACCGGAATCGAACCGATTTGGACTGGTTTCGGTTTCGATTTTGATTTCGATTCTGGTTCCCACCGGTTCGGAACCGATGGTTCTAATTTCGAAAATTGGATTTTCGCCACCCCTACCTTTAGTGAATAGACAATAGTCTGTTGATGACTAAATGAACCCATAAGCAAGCAGGGAAGAGGTGAATTCTTTATTCCACTGCCTTCCTACTTGTTTAAGGCCGTATAGAGAACGTTTTAGCTTACAGACGTATCCATTAGAGACTTTAGTGTAAACTTTTGGTGGTAGCATGTAGATATCATCATCAATATGTCCATGTAAATAGGCATTATTGATGTCTAATTAATGAATGGGCCAGGAATTAGCTGCAACTAGTGCTAACAAAACCCTCATAGTTACTAGCTTAGCCACGAGTGAAAAACTTTCTGTGTAATCCAAGCCTAATAGCTGGTTGTAACCCTTTGCCACCAGGCGAGCTTTATATTTATCAACTATCTCATCTAATTTGTATTTGATTCTATAAACCCATTTGGACCCTATGACCTTTTTCCCTTTAGGCAAATCTGTGATATCCCATGTGTCATTTGCTTCCAATGCATCTAACTCAACCTGCATGGCTTGTAGCCACTTATCATCCTTTTTTGCATGAAAATATGATTTAGGTTCATGCATTTTGGTTAAATTATTTTAAAAGGCTAAGTAGAAGAATATGATAAATTATGAGTAAGACACTGACCTCTTATATTAGCAGGTGATGGATCAATGCTATTGGAAGATGCTAGGGCCACAAAGTCCAACAACCAGTCAGGTTTTATTTTGGTTCTGGTACTTCTCCTTAAGGTAATGGTAGGTAAGGTCGGTTCATGTAATTTATGCAGGCTGTTATTGTCAAGGTAAGGTCGATAAGGTTAAGTATTTGGAGTGTTGTTGTGTGATGATGAGACCTGGTCTCATGTGGTTACATTGTGTGTATTCTGACTGTCTGTGGTGAAATGATGTATTGTTGTGTTTGGAGTGTTAAGATATTTGAGAACTAGTCAACTCTCAATGATCACCATACACTTGTTCAAATGCTGTAAATATTTTCTGTTTTTGCAATTTGTTATTTCCTTGATTTCTGCTAGTCCTGTGATTTGTTTTTGAATATAATCCTCCTAATTTGTAGCTGCTGTAATCCTTTGTAATTTTCTATTTATTAGCCACGATACTTCGTGGAAAAGGCATTAATCAAATATAAAAAATATTCTTTCTCCATTCTGAATTTACATGGTATCAGAGCACCATGGTTGATTCATCAAATTAAATTTCTTTTAATCCCACTAATGCACAACATTCATTCTCAGTCAAATTAAAATCATCAACATGGTACAGAGCACCATGGTTGATTCTATCAGAGCACCATGGTTGATTCATCAAATTAAATTTCTTTTAATCCCACTAATGCACAACATTCATTCTCAGTCAAATTAAAATCATCAAACTACCTATCATGGAAAACTTAGTTTTAACCTTTTCTCAACTATCATAATCTCAACCATCTTATTGATGGCTCTTCTCCACCCTCAAAAATAATTAAATCTCCATCCAACCCAGCTATTGATATTCCTAATCCGGAATACACAACTTTGTTCAAACAAGATCAACTCTTACACTCTTGGCTTCACTCCTCTCTTTTTGAAGAAGTCTTCACATATATCATTGGGTTAAGTTCCTCTCAAGATGTCTGGCAAGCTTCAGCACAAGCCTTTGGTTCAGTCTCTCAAAACTGACAACTTCAAATTCACATTGAGCTATAAGAGCTCAAGAAAAATGACCTATCTATTTCTACCTATCTCCAACGTGCCAAGGCACTTAAAGATGAGTTACATGCTGCTGGCCGAACCCTTTCAACTGCTGAATTCAATGCCATCATCTATAGAAATATTGGCTTTCAGTATCATAATATCATTACTGCATTGAATCTTCGTCTTGACCCCATTCCATTCCATGAGCTTCATGGATAGCTTGTTGCTCATGAAATCCTTCTAAAAAGCTATCATGAACCATCTCAAACAAATCTGGTGTCTCCCCAATTCATAAACAACTCCCTCCCACCTCTGCTCCCATTGCCAAATTCGAATTCCAATTGGCAAAAAAATTCTAATTCCAAATCCAAAGGCCCTTGTCAAATATGTGGCTTAAGAAACCACAGTGCAGACAAATGTCGTCACCGTTATAAACGGCAATATCAAAACTCCATTCAAAATCGATATCTATAAACTCCATCAAAATCGAAGCCGATCAACAATCCATAGGCCAAAACTTATTCATAAATCTCCACCCACCTGCTATATCATGAGCCGCCATCCACTTCGCTGGCTACACCCCATGATCAATTTACTACCCACGAAACAACCAACACCTCAGCAATATCTCAACGCTCGCTTGTCAGAAATAATTCACCCTACACTGCTACTAATTACGGCATTGTGCGACTCGATCATTTCAATCATTAAGCACCCGCTACAGGTGGTGGTGAATCAAAGAAGTGTCTGATAATCTTCATATCCGGAAATGGTGTTGGATTATCAATCTCACATTACTGGTACGGTTACTATCCCTGTCGCCTAGATGCTGTCCACTTCTTCGTGAAGGATACTTTATGAATGTTCCCAAAAATTATCAAAAATCTTTTATCTGATCAAAAATTCACGGCAATAATTTGTTGTTTTGAGGGCCTCTACCACACTGTTTCTTTGTTAAGGATCAGATTACCGGGAGAATTCTTCTGCAGGGCCCAAGTGAAGATGGTATCTACTCCCTCAGATGACCTCTCAAATCTGCTCTCACGGCCATTGTCCCTTCGTTTTCTGATCGGCATTCTGCCTTGGGTCATCCTCATTGTAGGACTGTCTCCAAAATTATAAAAGATACCTTGTTCTAGTTTTGATTTTACTCCTTGTTCTGCTTGTAATTTAGTAAAATTATCTAGAATGCCTTTAGCTTTTGTTCAACATAAAAGCACAGCTCCTTTTTAAATAATCCACTCTGATGTCTAGGGCCTGCACCTATTGTTTCTAGCCTAGGTCATAAGTATGTTCTTTTGTTTATCGATGATTTTTCTCGATTTACATGGTTATATTTGCTGAAAAATAAGAGTGATGTATAGTATATATTTACATGGTTATATTTGCTGAAAAATAAGAGTGATGTATATAATATGTTCTTGCAATTTCATTCCCTTATAGAACGTCAGTTTAATTCCAAAATTTTAGCTTTTCATTCAGATTGGGGAGGGGAGTATCAAAAATTAAATAGATATTTTCAACAAAATGGGATAATTCACAGAATTGCATGCCCTTACACCCATGAACAAAATGGCATTGCTGAAAGAAAAATACGTCATATTATCGAAACTACCCTTACCTTACTGTCTCATGCTAAATTACCATTAAAATTTGGAATTATGCTGCCGAAAATAGTGTCTAGTGAATTAATATTTTGCCTTCTCCAACTTTACAAAATAAATGTCCTTATGTGTCTTTATACAATTCACCACCAAATTACCTTATTCAACAACCCTTTGGTTGTATTGTTTATCCTTTCCTTCAACCATACTCCACCCATAAGTTTGCTTTTAGGTCCATTCCATGTATCTACTTAGGAACAAGTCCCTCTCATCATGCTCATCGTTGTTTGGGATCCTAAGTCAAAATGTGTCTACCTTGCTTGTCATGTTAAATTTGACCCTACAAAATTTCTTGGATTTAATTCAGTTGCAGGTAACAGTCCATCTCCACATGAAACATCTTGGTTATCTATCTCAAATCAGATACCACCACACTTGGATGCTGCAGGCGGATTTTCAGGTACATCCTTATCTCACCAATCTTCTTCTACACAGTCCAATTCCACCACAAAGACTACCCCTCCTCTTTTTAACGTCTCTCCAACTCACACAAATAATAATCCCGCAACTTCAGTTACGTCTCACTCTCCACCAAATCAAATCGTACCATATGTGCTCCTACAAACTAGCTTGCTCTTGATTTAGTATTTGATATCTCATCTCATTTTTTCCAACCCGCTCCACCACAACAGCCTATAAGAACTCACCCTATGCAGCTTCGGCAATCCACTCACCAGAAACAAAAAGCCTTTATCTCTATGAGCAAGCCTGATTATTTATCTTCTGAACCTTAAACTTATGATCAAGCTCAACCTCATCTTCAATGGAGACAAGCAATGGAGTGTGAAATTAATGCCCTTTTGTATAATAAGACGTGGCAATTGGTACCACGCCCTCCAAACATAAATATTGTGGGCAATAAATGGCTCTTTCATATCTAATGGAGACATTGAACGTTACAAAGCTCGATTGGTTGCGAAGGGGTTTTCGCAGCAACCTGGAATTGATTATAATGAGACGTTTAGTCCGGTTGTCAAAACCACAATAATACGAACTGTTCTTTCTCTTGCTACTGTATCTAAATGGCCAATAAAACAGGTTGATATATCTAATGCATTCTTGCATGGATATCTTGACGAAGACATATACATGGCTCAGCCACCCAGATTGTTGATTTGGTTCATCCGGATTATGTTTGTAAACTGCAAAAGTCTCTGTATGGCCTTCGGCAAGCACCAAGAGCATGGTTTCATCAGTTAAGTACATTTTTGTTACAACTTGGTTTTCAGGCTTCCAAAGCCGACACGTCCTTATTCATTTACAAAGAGGGTAATACTCAATGCTTCATCTTGATATATGTCGATGATATCTTGATTACATGTTCAGATTCTAGCAAATTGGAAGTTTTTTTGCAAGCTTTACAATTTGCTTTCCTGGTGCGTGATCTTGGTCAATTGCACTACTTCTTAGGCATTGAGGTACTTTCCCAGTCTTCGGGTATTTTGTTGTCACAATAAAAATATATAAATGATCTACTCCAGAGGTTTAATATGTTTGACAGCAAAGCTACCTCGACCCCTATGGCTTCTAATTCATCATTATCGAAACATGATGGTGAACTAATGGTTGATGGAGAGAAGTTTTGACAACTTGTTGGTTCCCTTCGATATGTGACTCTTACTAGGCCCGACATCTCCTTCACAGTCAACAAGCTTGCTCAATTTATGCATCAGCCCACTCAAAATCATTGGGTTGCTGCTAAACGTTTGTTGCGTTATCTCAAGGGTACTGCTAATATGGGTCTTTTCTTTTCTCACTCATCACCAATTTGGTACTGCTAATATGGGTCTTTTCTTTTCTCACTCATCACCAATTTCACTACAATGTTTTACCAATAGTGATTGGGCTGGCTACCCGGATGATCGAAAATCCACTTTTGGATATGCAATTTACATGGGCACTAATTTAATTTCCTGGTCTTCGAAGAAGCAATCTACTGTTGCCTGCTCTTCAACTGAAAGCGAGTACAGTTTCATTACTCATGCCACTTCTGAAATTATGTGGCTTTTATCCTTATTTTCTGAACTTGGATATCATGTTTCACCAGCAACTCTATGGTGCGATAACATTGGTGCAATCTACTTGACTTCTAATTCGGTATTTCATGCTCGAACCAAGCACATTCAACTCGATTTTCACTTTGTCAAAGATCTGGTTCAACAGAAACCGTTTCAAGTCAAGTTTATTAACATTGGTGCAATCTACTTGACTTCTAATTCGGTATTTCATGCTCGAACCAAGCACATTCAACTCGATTTTCACTTTGTCAAAGATCTGGTTCAACAGAAACCGTTTCAAGTCAAGTTTATTTCCGGTCAAGATCTAATTGCAGACGTTATGACAAAACCGTTGAGTTCTCCTTTGTTCCTACGTCATCGGGACAAGCTTCGACTTATGTCTGTACCGTCTTCAGCTTGAGAGGGGCTGTTACGATATTTGAGAACTAGTCAGCTCTCAATGATCACCATACACTTGTTCTAATGCTGTAAATATTTTCTATTGTTGTAATTTGTTATTTCCTTTATTTCTGCTAGTCTTGTAATTTGTTTTTGAATATAATCCTCCTAATTTGTAGCTGCTGTAATCCTTTGTAATTGGCTATTTAATAGCCACGATACTTCGTGGAAAAGGCATTAATCAAATATAAAAAATATTCTTTCTCCATTCTAAATTTACATGGACGTGGTGTAAATGTGTTTGATATGTTGGTGGATTGGATGGAGGATGAAGGAGAAGTGATATTTGTGTTTTCTGATTGTGGTATTAGATTATTTGTTGGTTATTGTGTGTCTTCATTGAGCAAAGGGTAGGGAAAACTGATAGCTAGAGATAGGTAGCTTATTATGAAATGGGAATATGTGTTCCTCGAACTTAACATCTCTAGAGTGAAAAATCTCCTTGGTCTCCATATTATACAGTTTGTATCCCTTCTGTTGAGGTGCATAGCCTAATAAGATGGTAGGAATAACTCTTGCATCAAACTTATTTTTATTGGGTTTGACATTATTTATGAAGCATACGCATCCTATAGTCCTAAAATAGCTAAGATTAGGAGTTGTGTTATGTAAAACCTCAAATGGTGCTTCATTTCAAAACCTCAGTTGGTACCCTATTTATAATATGTGTTGCTGCTAATAGAATTTCAAACCAAAAAGTTTGGGTAGTTTCGATTGCAGCATTAGAGCTCTTCTGCAAAGAGTGATTTATGCTTTCTTTCAACTCTACCATTTTGTTGGGGAAAATAAGGGCAAGAGAGTTGTTGCATGATGCCTTTTTTAGCAAAAAATTCTTGTAATTGTTTGTTCACAAATTCTGTACCATTTTCAGTTCTAAATTTCTTTGATTTGGGTCTGAAATTGGGTAGCTATCATGTTTGTGTAATGTCTAAAGACCTCAAATACTTGTGTTTTGTCAGTAATCATGTAAACCCAAGTATACCTAGTGTGTTCATCTACTAAAGTCATCATTTATTTTGCACCTGTTAAGGATTTAACTGCATAGGGACCCCCACAAATCTGCATTGACTAAATCAAATGATGCATGTGCATCGCTAGTACTGGTAGGAAATGGTAAGCTTTGCTATTTCGATTGTGGACAAATACAACAGTCATCAAATTCAACACATGCATTCAATATTATTGGTATATGTCTCAATCTATTGTTTGAAATGTGTCCTAGTCTAGCATGCCAAAGCATCCCCATGTTGTTATTATGGTTTTCACAAGCAATAGAAACATTACATGTAGTATTAGGACAAAAGGAAGTATTATTTAAAGATATGGCCCTCCAGTCACCTTCCCAATAGCAATAATCTCATCATTCTGCATATCCTACAATAAGAAATGGTCAGTTTTGGTTTCGACTGAAATGTTATTATTTTTTGCTAGGGTAGTCACTAAAATCAATTTACATTTGAAACTATGAACAAGTAAAACATAATGTAATGTCAGTTTGTTGTGTAACTTGATTGTTCCAGCATGGGTAATTGTTTTAAATGAAACATCAGGTAGTTTGACAAGTTTTGGTATGGATAGTTTCTGGAGGCGATTGAAAAGGGTACTGTTGTATGTCATGTGATCAGTTGCTCCTGTGTAAATTATCCAATTCCCTTTATCATTATATTTATGCAATTAAGGTGATATTTGGTTACAATACCTGCAAAGCTTATGTTATTTGCATTGTCTACATCTCCACTGGAGTGGTAGTTCTGTATCTCTTTGCGTTTCATTATCTTAATTACTTCCTGTTGAACCAGCTTTGCAATGCTGTCATTATGCTCTCCATACACTGCTGCATTCATCACCGTTGAATTGTCCATAGGAGTTTCAAAGATCTGTGTGACTTCACTCACATTTGCTTATGCTTTCTTCTATTTGAAACCTGCAAACCATTCTGGATATCTATGAAATTTGAAGTAGGTTTCTTTAATGTGACCACCCTTCTTACAATAACTGTAGTATCTGTCCTCTTTTCTTTTGTTATAAAATCTATTATCCTTGTTACTAAACCTTTGATTGCTATTTGGTATATTTGCATACAAAGTTGATGAGTGCTCATTTGAATCAAAAGTCAGCGTGTGGACTTCCCTCTGTTTCTCAACCTTTAAAACCATTCAATATGCACTGTTTACACTAAGAAACAGTTCCATTAACAGGATCTGATTCCTTACATTATCTTATGAATCATTGAGGCCCATCAAGAATTGAATCAACTTATCTTCATTATCTAATTCTATCATAGTCTTGGAGGCACCATATGTGCATGTAGGTAAGGGTCTTAAGCATGTCAATTCATCCCACTGCTTCTTCATCTTAGTAAAGTAATTCATAATAGAGGTGTTACCTTGCTTAATATTTGAGATTTCTTGTTTAATTTGGTAGAGTAAGGGCCCATTCCACTCACCAAATCTCTGTGCTAGTTCTTCCCAAAGTTCTTATGCACAGTTAGCATATAAAAACCTCTCTACTATGCACAGCTAGCATATAAAAAACTCTTTACTATGTCTTTTGAGATTGAACTTAAGATCCATGAAATCACCATACTATCTACTCTCATCCATTTATCTAACATAGGTGAGTTAATTTAAGGTTTAATGTACAGGCCATCAATAAACCCTAGCTTATATTCAACTCTCAATGCAATCAACATAGATTTATTCCAAGATAGGCAATTATTTCCATGAAGTAATACACTCACAAGATTTGTGGTCGGATTGAGAGTTGTGTAGCCTCAATTTTTATGATTCTTCGATTTCTGTTCCTCCTGGTGGAGTTGTAACCATGGCTGATTAAGTTGATCAGATGCTTGTGGAAGAAAAAATGATAGAGATGGAGCTAGAATGAATTTGAGTTACTGAATCTCAGACTCTGATATCATGATCAGAATTGTAAATTATAATATAAAGATATGGATATGAAATCTACAGAGATTTGTAGACTATAGCATATTGAAGAAGAATAAGATGATTACAGGATAATGAATAGAAAAAAATAATTGCTGCCTATTTACGCTAGATCTAAATCTAATCCTATGTGTCTGCTTGTATATTGGCTATACTAACTAACTAATTGTGTGCGTCACGTGAGTTTGGCTGGATAAATTAATTGTGGGCTTGTATAGAAAGGCCCAAGCTTGTTTGGTGGTTTTACATTTTCTCCAAGGCCAGATAATATTTTGTGCTGTAATAAAACTAGCTTTATTTGTTTTGATGAAACTTAGCGCGACTGCTTCATTTATTTATTTTGTTCAGTATTCTTTACTAGATTCATTATTCATGCATGTTTAAATTAATTTCAAATCTTTTATTAACTCATGTACTATTAGATTCAATATATAAATTCATCTTTGAACTTTGTTATTTTAATCTTATGACACTGTTAAATTTTATTTTGACTAATCAAACACTTGTAAATTATATCTATTAAAAAAATTTAATTTTCAGAACTATTTTATTGAACAGTTCAACTTATAAAATTAGATATTAAATACTTTTTAAATAGTTGAAATTTATGAAAATTATTATTTTAAAAGTTATGCTAATTATATATCAACCCAATATTTTACTTATAAAAGCCAAGCACTTTAGAAACTATTGTTGTTAGTACAGAAAGGTGTGTAATGTTATTAAAATTTATAAATTTATAATGCATCATTTTCAAAATTAAAAGAGTTAAAATTTGAAAAGTGAAAAGGATGAATCTATGTATTCACCGTGTATATATATTATCTTTTACATATTTCCATATAATGGCATATCAATCAATTAATAACAATGAGTAGTGGGTTTATTATTAGTCAACATTAGGAGATTAAAGTTTATTATTAGATTCATTGTACATGTGATCCATCCATATGCAATCGAATATTTCTAAAAGCATAAAAATATTTCTTGTCTGCTTTGGTCAACAAAGTTACACACATACGGGTACATATATATACACACACACACGTTGTGATATATTTTGGGCATACACGAATTGCTTTTCAAACATCAACTCATAATGGGTGTTGTCACTTTTGAAGGGCAGATTGAGCTCCCAATCGCAGCAACCAAGATATTCAAGATGATTTCTGAACCTGAAATCTATATTCCCAAAGTCCTGCCTGGGTTTGTTAAGAGTTTTGAAAATCTTCAAGGAGATGGAGGACCTGGTACTGTCAGACAATTTACCTTTCCTGAAGGTAAGTTACAATATCTATGCATTTTGAATAGGCTAATGCTAGATTTTTTTTTTTTTTTTTTTTTATATCTATGCATTTTGAATAGGCTAGATGCTTTTTTTTTTTTTTTTTTTTTTATATATATAAATCTAAGACCATTCTCGTTTTAAAATTTAGGGATGCTATGCATAAGTGTTTTTTCATTGATCTAACACTTTGATATTGCAGAAATCTTTTGCTAAAATCAAGCATGCGTTACTACTTAAATCACTCCCATACGATGCTTCAAAAAAAAAAAGTCACTCCATATGAGTTATTATTATTTCTGTTTGAAGAGATTTTATAGAAGATGTATCTAGCTGTTCGCCATTTACAAAATTCACATATTTTATTTTATTTTTTTATATTATACGATTGCAGCAGATAAATTATATATTAGATTAAATAAATTATAAAAATATCATAAAACATTACATAATTTAAATTTGTATGTAAAATCTCTTTGTTCTTGCATAATTTTTTCCATATCTAATACGGATTTTGCATTTCAAGTTAAAGTCTAGTTCCGCCCCTAAATTGTTGTAAATCGGTTTTACTATACTGTGACATTTTATAGAATTATAAATCATGGTGTGATTTGTAAATTTCACATATTTTTCTTTTTTTTTTTTTTAATAATTCTTTTAATTGGTTGTTTTATTTCAAATTTATCCGTAAACTTGCCTAATTAATTAATAATTCTTTTAATTGGTTGTTTTATTTCAAATTTATCCGTAAACTTGCCTAATTAATCAAACTTTTAAGGACAACAAAATCAATGGTGGAGATTCATTTTCCATTCCATGTATAATTTACCTACTGTTTGAATTTTAATAAGATTTTAATGTTATTTAAAATATTCAGGTAGTCAATACAGTCATGTGAAGGAAACCGTTGATGTTGTAGATAAAGAGAATTTCATATTTCAGTATACTGTAATTGGAGGGGATCCTGCTCTCATAGATACTAGTATAGTAGAAAAATTGTGTTGCCAGGTTAAGTTTGAAATTTCTCCCGACGGAAGAACTATTTGCAAGCGCAATTCCAAGGCCTATACCATTGATGGTGTTGAGGTCAAAGAAGAAGAAATAAGGGCTACTCTGGAAAATGCTACGCAAGTCTTTTTTCAGGTATTGAAGCTTGAAGAAGCCTATGCCTTGGCGAATCCTGATATTTGAGTTAAGTGATATGTATTTTAGTTTTCATAAGCCATGTGAGCAACTATAAAAAATTTCAGGTTTTATTGTCAAATTTCTGTTTGTCTCCCTGTAATTTAAAGTCATGGCTTTGCTCATGTTTATGCAAAGTCTCAATCCTTTGCTTGTTTTTAGGCAAAGTAAATAAAATTATTTATTTATATATAGAAGAAGTTTAACATATATACACCAGCTAAACCATTCTCAATACCCTAAACTTTAAGAGTTGTTATAATTGCATCCTAAAATGAACATAACCTCCCGGACAATCTAATTTCAAACTTATGTAAAATTACATCCTAATTATAAAATTGGTCAAAATTGAGATTAAAAAATAATAAATGTGGGTCCCAGGAGAGTTAGCTAACTCAATTTCAATTAATTAACTCAAAATGCACAGTTTAAACATTATTAGGCTGAGTTAATAATCATATGAATAAAAAAACTATTATAGATAATTACTAATGGCACCGGCAAGGAGACAGCGCTGGAGGAAGGAAGTGGCTTGAGGGGATCAAGGAAAGCCGAGAGACATCAACTGCTTGGATGGGTACTGAGTAGGTTTGAATCTTGTAAACCTCTAACCAGATTGAGTGTGGTCTCGATCTTATAAAACAGAGGTAGTCCTTCCGGTGATTGCCAACGTGCCAGTGGAATCAATCCGATTCGCCAGTGGAATCAATCCGATTCGCGAGGGTCATGTTATGGTGTACTTCGGCAATGAGATGGAGTGGTTCATGGTGAGTACGCAGTTGCTTAACCACACAATATTCACTGACCTTTCTAAATTGGACCATCTATTTTCTCCTTCCAATTTCTTTTTCCTTTTTGTGTAGATCCTTGAGATATATATACCACATCAAGAGATCTCTTACGCTTTTTTGTGGCCTATTACATAGATCACAATCACTTTTGAATGTTAAAGTGTTTTTATTATCTAGTGCTATTTTTTTTCCTTGTAAAATCAAGGTTTGAAGCTTCACTTAATTATATATATTCTCTCTTTTTTGCCCTAATTTGATTTGAATTTTACTCGAACAATTCGTAATCTATCTGTTTGTTTGTACAAAGATGAAGAAAGGTATTTGATCCGTAGAGGAAGAAAGAAAATTCTCAATTGCTTCAAACGCTGTGTTTTACTGTAGCTAAATTGATGTTGGATTAGCTAACTCATGTGGGATCCATATTTTTATTATTTTTTAATCTCAATTTTGATATGTTTGTAATCAGGGTGCAATTGTGACTTAAGTTTGAAATTTGGGAGTCTGAAGTATTAAGTCATTTTGGAGTGCAATTATAACAACCCGTACAGTTTAGGTATTGGGAATAGTTTAGCCTATATACACCCACATTTAACGTGGATGTATATGTGAACTGATATCAAATAATTAAAGGAAAATTACAGTACAAATCCCTGCAATTTGTGAAATACAATTAGTTCGTCCCTGACTTTTTCAAAATAGAATAAAACATTCTTATACTTTACTTTCGTTAGACTATAAGGTTCTTCCATCCAATTTCTATATTTTTCAGTTCAGTACCATATGAAATGATGAAAATACTCTTTTTATTTTTAAAAATACAGGGATAGATTAGTTGTAATTTTTAAACCAAAACGACCGTAATGTAACTTTTTTATATAATATTTTAGTATTATTTGACCTCTGTGTTTTCTTGTGAACTTAACGGAAAATATATAAAAATTGAACAAAAATATCCAGTAGTGCAACGGAAGCAAAACATAGGAAAAATTGATATATTTTAAAAAAGATAAGGACTGCCTAATTGTATTTCGCAAATCACGGGAATCGTATTGGATTTTTTTCAATAATCGAATCAGCTAATGTATAAAATAATTTGACAATTTGGAGAAAAAGAAGTCTAAGAGATCAATGGATCTAATGCATTCTCACAAAGTCTGGAAATGTAGCAGAATCCAATCAAATGAAGTGTAATTAGCAAGATAAATTATACAGAGAAGATAATGTGAGTCCAATATTGTTAAAATCAGACAGGACATCACAATAGTATAATTAGCAGAATCCAATATTGTTAAAATAGAAGAATTAAAATTACTTAAAATAGAAGAATTAAAATTACTATTACATGCTTTATATTTGACAAAATCACTATTTCCTTCTTGAAATTTTGATCCACTAAACTATTTAATCATCTCATATAAAGAGTATCATTTTACAGATCACTTTATGATCCGAGGGATAACACCTCCTGATTACACCATACAAAAAAGTATTGTGAATGGGATTAACAGCAACCCACTTGAAACTTCTGAGAACCTGCAATCCAGGTAGATGGTATTGAAGAAGAGTAGTGATCAAATTAGGGTCAATCAGTACGTCCAAGCAATCCATAAGTGAGCTGTGGCTGTAGACAAGAAGGATAATAATTGATGGGAATGTGCTTACTGACTTGTCTATGGCGTCTCTTTCCAGGGATATGGCTTCAAGCAGTGTCAGCACCAAATCTCTCGCACATGCAATATTCAATCACGTTGTTCCTGAAAACCAAATTAAATTAACAAACTCAATTGATATGAAATGTGTAAAAACCAATGAGGATCTCAACACTTTTACATAAATTATTTTCTTATATTGGCCCCTCTCCCTCTGCTTCTGCTATGCTAAACTAAACTAATTGCCAAAATCGAAAGCCTAATGATCTTGGTGGAGAAGATATATACATAAAATAATCAACAAACAGCGCAATTTAAATGTTACTATTTAAAGTATTAATAACACAATTACAACATTTTTCTTGTTGGTTTTTGTCAACAACTAAGCTAACTATACTAACTACAATTAAATTGCTAAAATCGAAAGCCTGCATATAAATATATATACGTTGGCCTGCATATAAATATATATACGTTGTTACGTTTTCTTCGCCACACATCTATTGCTTTTACTATACAAGTTTCTTCTTTTAATCATTATGGGTGTTGTGATTTTTGAAGGGCAGAATGAGGGCTCATCAGTGCAATTCGATTTGTAACTCAAAACAGTTTAGATTCAGTTTGAAGAATTCCAAACCAGTTTAGTTTGAAAATTACTTCAAACCATCTTAAAATAGACCGTGTACACCCCTATGAAAAGGTTAAAAATTTTAGAGGAAAGAAAATATAATTAACGAAATTGTCGATTATACTCTCCTTGAAAATTTAAAAATTGAAAATTATTTAAAGATTTTGGTGTATCTCATAATAATAATAATAGTAGTAGTAGTAGTAGTGATAATAATAATAATCCCTTTTTTCTTATTTCGTGGGTGGCTACGAATCAGTGAGCTTACTCCGATGGTCATCTCTTTTCCTTTTAATTCAGTTTTCTTCGATCTTTCTTTTATTTATTTATTTGCATTTCTTTTTCAAATAATTTTTGTGTTTTTTAATAGAAATATGAGTGATTATTATCTACATTTTAGGATTTTGGTCTCAAAATAGTTATTTGGTAGTTTTCTGGGTCTATTATTGTTACTGTTATGGGGATTTTATTTATAATATTTTGTTATTTAGATAATTATATAGAATGAGGTGTAGATAATATCCACAACTGGAGCAAGGGACCATCTATGACATACGTATTATATTATGTCAACTCGATCGGATAATTTAAATTAAGGTTGTGTTATTTTATTCTTATTATCAGTGATTTATTATTAGATTTTCTATAAAAAATATAGAAATTTGTTAATCTATATTCCATATTTATATAATATTTCCTCTTAATGAAATTCGTTATTTTGATTTCTTTTTAAAGAGAAATATATGAGGACGTAGGTGAAAAATAAATTAAATTCTATTTTCATTATTTCCCTCCATGTTTCAATATAAAAATTCCTTTTTAAAAAATATTTTTCATTGCTCTTTTCTTTCCTTTATAAAAAAGATACTCCATCTAAACAAAAGCTTATTTAATATTTATAAAGTTAAAATAGTGGATCACATGAATCATAATTCTAATAGAAAAAGTTAGTTTTCTAATGTGGACTAATTATAAACCTACTACTAATTATTTTAATTGATATACCATGATATGGAAAGATCAAATCGATTATGTATGAGTTGGTAATAGATTTTAAATTAATTCACACATGTGGTGATTGCATGATTAATCGATCTCCTGAAAAGAAAAGAGAAAAGAAAAGATATTAGTTGTCTTCTATTGTTGATCAATAATAAAATAAGCTGAATATTCTCAGATTAACACATAATGAACACTTTACAAAATTAAATTACAATACTGAGCATGTTTTTAAATTACAATATTTTTCATTTTTATATTTTTAATTAAATATGTCAATTTCAAAATTATTAACAACGGATGATTATATAATATGAAAATATAAAATGTTTTGCTTCAAAATTGACATATGTAATTTGGGAAAATAATTTATGCCCTTTTCATTGAAGGACTGTTAATGCTAATGATATGATTTTTTTTTTTTCATACTTTTTCTTATATCCATGTCTGAAAATTTTTTATCTAATTTGGAGAAACTTTTTTCATAAATTAATCAATGAGAAAACAGTTCTCCTGAAAAATAAAATTTAAGTGCAAGCAATCAATATTTTGTTGCTGTCAGTTATGTTATGTCGTTTAGTAGCTACTTAACTAGGCTGCATTGTTGTTGACTAAGAAGATATGTAATGACGGAAAAGGCATTTGCTAAAAATTAGGGTAGCGTTAATTTCAAAAGCATATTGTGTTATTTAACGAGCTCGTTAGAGTAGCGTTAACACAATGTTCTGATGCCAGGGCAAATAAGCACATTGCATTAACGCAACCCTAATGTGTTAATGCCATAGGTTTTGAATTGTCGATCTGACATTATTTTTGGCATTAATACAATATGCTCTGGAAATAACGTTACCCCTAAAACAATTTAGAATTATTAAAATAATTAATTTTATTGAGCATGCCCTTAAAATTATATTTTTTGAAATTAGAATAGATAGTCTATCTTTAATTAGGACGTATTCTTCTATACATGCTGTACCATAAATAGGCTATAAATTCATTATCTAATTACAATTAACTGAAAATAGGCTATAAATTCATTATCTAATTACAATTAACTGAGTTCGAGTGAGTTTTTTATAAAACTTTAAACATTATAATGTTTAGAATGAGTTTTTTATAAAACGT